TCGAGAGAGAGAGAGCAGAAGAGTGATTCATAGATGTAAATAGACAGAAGGGACACAGGTAGAGAAAAGGTAAGATGAGGACTTTCGAAGTGGTCTAACTTGGAATACAGTGGGGTCATGGTAGTTTGAAGTCAGAAGTCAACTGCCTGTTTATAGACTTTTTTGCCGTATGAGCATGCGTTGCCCAGGATGCACCACATGGAGGTTGTAAGTACACGTTGCCCAGGGTGCACCACGTGGAGGTATGCCGTTTGAGTATACGTTGCCCATTGGTTTATAGACTTGTTTGCCGTATGAGTATACGTTGCCCGTCAATGGGGTCATGGTAGTTTGAAGTCAGAAGTCAACTGCCTGTTTATAGACTTTTTTGCCGTATGAGCATGCGTTGCCCAGGATGCACCACATGGAGGTAAGTCTATCGTACACCCCATTGGTTAATGTGATAAAATGTGCTAAGTTAATGGACAAATATAAAGTTTATAGTGAGTTCGATGTTCAGTTAAAATAGCTTAATTAATCAAGTAAATCCAAATTCTTTCACTTTGTGAGAGCAGCCCATCGTGACGGTGTGGTCCTCCTTTCCATGATTTTTGAAATATCATCAAATATGTTGATGACGTTAATTTCGTTCACGTATAATGTGATCTTAGTCATATCACACCTCTTTGTTTATCTGTTTCTGGCGTTGTAGCGCTCATGTTTTTTCTACTTCTAGTTCTTCTTGAAGATTTTGTTTAATAATGGCATTTATTTGTTGCTTTGCAACTTCGCGTCAATGAATTTTAAGAGTTTCATTAACTGTATTTATCTCTTTCACTGTGAAAATCGTATATATTTCTTCAAATCTATAATACCTCAATCGGGGTGTGCGATAGACTTACCTCCACGTGGTACACCTTGGGCAACGTATACTCGTACGACAAAATTTCTATAAACCGAAAGTTGACTTTGACCACAAAATACAATGGCCCCACTGTATGTCATATTCTACCAATTCCACAGTATTCATCTCTCTTTTTTTCTCTACTGATGTGTCTGTCTGTCTCTTACATCTTTGAATCTCCCTTCTGTTACCCCTCTCGGATTTTTCTCACTTTGATGTTCCTCCTCCTCTCTGTGAAGCCCGAAATCAACTAAAGGATTGATGATGATTATCAAAACGCCTGCCATTTGTTATAGATAATACCTCGCCTAGTAAGTTCTTCATGAGGGACATTGCATCAATCGGTAGGAGTGCATACTATTTAATAGCCTTAGTTTGTCTTTAATTAGACGGGTTAGCATTCCTCAGTGGTGTGCGTAGGTACCAGACCTCGTACCTACTCCATAACTCCACCAGAGCATTTCCAATGACTAGAGGTCCTCATCGATAATTGAAATACGACTGGAGTTAAATGGGGTTATCACCTATTTACTTTTTACAGTTCCTCTTGAAATCAATCGCCTACTGCCATATCACATTCCCACAAAAACCTCTAAATTTTTATCTGTCCACATTAGTGCGTAAATGGTTCGCATACAAGACGTGCATGCAGCTTATATGCGCTAGTCTGGCGCATGGTTGCCAACAACAGGGATATGCCAACATCCGCCTTCGGACATTCCGAAGCCATCCTAGTAGACAACGTACTCACATCTCTCTCTTCCATGACTCCCATCTCTGGTAAGATGGGAACAAGCTCCATCCCTCTTCTAAACCGAGAGGATAGTCGAGGACGATTGTAATTCTTTCATGAAGATTGCGCTTACAATGGAGGTATTGTAGTCATATAGCTCCAACAAAGCAGTAGTAGTAACAGTTTAGCCATAGAACCTCTATTGATTTTCTGATCCTCCAACAGCTTTACTATCTCTCTCTAGTTTCTTTTTTTCTGGTATTTCTTCTTCTTCAGAAACTCACTCATCGCCTATTCTCCCTCTCAGTACCCATTTTGGCAAATAACTCAACAAAGAAATAACACTATATCTTTGTAAAAAAATCCACTTAAAGATGAAAGGTGCATAATTGAACAAGAGATTTACAAATTGAACCTTTGACAAGCCCCGAGGCAGTCAGTCCGTTAAAAGTGAGCTGTTCCACAATAGAGACACGCAAGGTGCTCCCGTTAGAAGACATATTGGGCTCAAACTCGTATATTTGCCGTCATCACAAGTATTCTGCGCAAGAAATGACAAGGACTATACGTAACACCAATTTCGAAATTTTCACCACCAACTAAATTCTTATAATCGTTTTTCGCTAGTAATGGTAATTCGCACGACTTTCGTTAGAGACACAGTGTGGTTTGGTCTCGTATCTACGTATCGTTCAGATCTATAATGAATAATGATACTATAACGGGGTAGCTTAACAAAAGTTGTGTGGTATACCAAAGTTCCTCAGTAGAGTCTTTCCAATATTGATCTCCTCGTAAAAGCCAAGGCAATAAAGTTGGTCGGTCTTCATGTCATCCAGTAAGCGGTGGATATTCACCTTGTTAAGCATGAACTATGACCAATCTGGATCTCTTTGAATGCCTGTGTTAGTTCTGCTTCAGTTCTTCACGAAGAAGGGAACGCTCCTTCCTTCAAGAAGATCCTGAAGATCGATCAGATTGATTTGAGGGAGTAATATTAAGGGCATTTATTTCTTGGACGGTTTAGACTGTGCAGATTTCGTCAAAGTGATTACCATTCATCACAAAAGTAGGGAAAATTGTGGCCTGCAAAACCCTTAAATCTCAGGTCCTTCAAGGGAATTAACCAAAGCAATTGGCCAGTCTGCTCACTCTGTGTGCGCCAATGTCTACTGAACCTGTTGCCCATGGCGTCCAATTGTGCTTTAAGTGAACTTTGCTCGCATAGTTGTTCACATTAACTCTAACCTAAACCGACAATTTGGTCTGAGTGATGCATGTTGATCTGCTCCTTAAAGGCACCACTAGCGTCTCCGTTAAAGGGTTCGCAAAAAAACCTATATTGGATTTGAATATTTGGCCTTTTTGTTCTAGAAATGAGCAGAAAATATGCGCTAATTAAGGCAAAGACTGAAGTCTGAATTCGGTGTTTGTGTGACTCATCCTGCCTTTTTTAAACCTCACCACTTTATAATAATAAACAAATACGTGCCTGATGGTGTTCGGAAGCGCGATTTCGCTCTCGATTTGATGCTAGTTGCCATCAATCCTGCTGGACCTACCCGTCAAATCCACACAATTTAATCGTGATTGATTACCAGTTAACTTGACCTGAGGTTAAGTCTCCCCCAATCAATATTGCCATTACCGGCCTCTGACGAGTATTAGCAATCACTTTCGTCTGAAAGGTACTTTTTCCAACATTGTGAGAATTCGTTTCCCTTCTACACCATGCCAAATCCCAATGAGAAATTCCATTACACGTGTCCCAAGAGGAGGTATCGAAATCTGGGATAGGAGAGGGGGGGGGGGCTGAACGTCGTTACAGCCGTTCTTGTTCTTTGGTCGTACAATCCTATTTTCGGAGAGAACCACCCGAAACAGCTGAGATATACGAATGCAAAAGGCTGTATCAGTTACTCAAGGAAAAAAACAAAACAAAAGTTCGTTAACGGAGCCTTGGACACTGTAGCATTGCATACAATGACCCCGCTGGTACTCTCGGTAAGAAGGGGACCACAATTTTGCAAAGTATGAACCGGCCAATATCTTTCCACACCATGAAGAAACTAATCAGGAGAGAATTCAATACTTCAAGAAGTAAGGAACTTTGAACCCGAACAAAGGAGAAGCAGCAGACAGTGGCACTCCCCAACAAAGCCGACTGGCCAAGAATCGAAGCTGTTGTAGGGTTTACACTGCCTGGAGAAGCATCTTCACAGAATAGGAGTATACGCTTAGCCAGCATGGTCCCTATGTGACCTACAGTAGGAAATGGTATATATATATATATCATTTCTGCCAAACAGACTTCACTAAAGTTAATGAAAATGGCAACGAATGTAGAGTAACTATTGTCATATGCTTTGATTATATCAAGAGACCTGAAGCGAGAAATCCAACGACCTTAGCTCCATAGTGAAGGATGGAGGCAGCCAATGACGGTGGCATTATCTCCAGCAACCCTCCTCTGTTTTGGAGACAACTTGAAGAAATGAGAGCTGTAATTATTTATTCGATGCTGAATGAAACCGAATTGAATGGAGATTTATCTGGACACACTGGAACCCTATTCGTCGTGTTAATCCAAAACACAGACCAACTAGGACAATCACTGGCCCTCAGAACTCGAAAAACATTCAAAGTGGACTCAGCGCCCAAAAGTATGGAGAAGCAACATTCAACGAGTGTTGAATCTTATCTAGAAAAAATTAATAGCTAATTGTCCCTTATTCATGTTATTTTCGCCTTCGCGAACCCGTTAAACTGCTGAGTCATTTATTTGCTGCCGTTTAATCAATAATATTACTCTTGAGTTCTGGTGTTTTCGGCGGCAAATTTGTCAACAACACTAATTCAAAGGAAATTATTGTATAATAGACCAAGTTATGTCGAAGAGTCGCCTTAGTGATGTTACCTCCTCTCTCCCCCCCGAAAGGCACCGAACACGGTTTGCAACCCCCTAAAACAAGAGCACGTCAATCGCCTCGTCACCGGTGCACAAATCGGGAGAATGAGCCCGATAGGCCAATTTCCCACAAACTCCAGAAACGCCTGCTCGCATTACAGTAGTAGCTTTCCACATGGATACGCTTTTGCGAAGATTCCACACCCAACCGCACCCTGTCATTTGTTGGACGCTTCACTCTTACCAAGTGCACACTTAAAATACAGCACAAAAGCGAAAACACTGGATTTGATATCAAGCGACAGCCCTATACGCGATATAGAAAAAATGCAAGGGCAATAGGGGTGGGGACAGGAGGGAGAGAATAAGAAGTTGGATAAAGTTGGGTTCATCGAATTTGGCCATTCAAATGTGATTAAAGGGTTAGGGGGTGAATGAACACATTTCTGAAGGGGAAAATAAGCTTTGGGAAACAATTAGATTTTCTCCTGGCTAATACTTTCATAAGATGGTGGTGGTTCAATCGGGGCTGTAGGTGGCGAGATTGGAGCCAGAGATGAACTTGTTACATCAGCAGGTTGCTGAAAAGTAAAACAATAAGATAGTTAAGTGACTGTCTAAAACGCGCGGACATATTCAAACAATAAATGAAACAGAAAGACTTTTAAGAAGTAAAACAACCAGTCCTAGCAACATAGAGACACAAAAATCGCATTCCGGTAACTTTCTGTCGATCAATTTCAAGCATTACATGCCTAAAACACATCGTTGACGGGTTGTACAAGGCAAGAATCCAGCCCAAGGTTCAAGCAAAATCAACAGAGTTAAAATGAGGACAACCTTTGTAGTACTGCATGACTCAAATGTATTTCAGTGAATGAAATGGCAGGTCATTAATAGAGAGCCCCAATTTCCAAATAATATATAATGCCTGCCTAAACTTTCTTTTTCATAAACAGAAACTTCGCTCTCTTTGAAAGCAACATGATAGAGCTGAAGTAAAATAAAAAACAATAGCTGGTGAAAGCAGATAGATAAGACATAAAAGCACACCGAATATCAGATCAGATTAAATGTTAAATAGAATAAAGAGAATGACTGGCCACATTAGTTTTTATCAGAGACACTTCACTGCCAACTAACACGTCGCCTATAAACATAACAAGATCAAAATGACTCACTCAAGAGCGTAAGGATTGAACCTCCGAAAGTTTTGGCCATGATAGAGCAACCTGTATTTAGTAGGTAACAACAGGGCAATGTGACAAATAGCAAAATGTAGTGACGACTGTTGGGAAATCATTTTAATTCAGGGCTTAATAATAATTTAGATTAATGAACCCAAATAGATGTAATAGTGGGTATTTAATTTGTCCCTGTACGCAATTTAAGTAATGCTCATAATTCCTAAACGAAAACTCCAAATAATTTTAGGAAAAGTGCATAATATGAATATAAAAAGTCGAACGTCAGAAACCAAAACCCACAAAAGAAGGAAGAGTAGATCTTAAGCTTCTAGCGAATGTTCCTTCCAAATAAAACAAAACGTAAATTAACAGTCTAGTTACACTCTAATCTGTATAATTCGATGGGCAACATCTTAATTGAAAGCAAATAAAAAGACACCGACGTAAAAACCCATTAAGGGATTACGATAAATTGACATTACAAAATAAAAAGATTTGAATTCGGATGTTCCAATGAAATAAAAAAATATTTACAAAATCACGATGAAGCAGGAAAAAATTTTTATACTCATGATGATGACAAAGTAAAAAACAGAAATGATTAAGAGAAAAGTAATGGACTTTTTTTAAAATTAAAAACCTGTGAAGAGAGAATGCTAGAGGACTTGTTCACACTTACATTAACGACGACAACCCCAGGTTGGTGTACAGGTGGAGAACTAAGACAGCAAACGCACGACGCGCTTATGAAAACAGAGATGACCATAATACAGCCCAAAATAATAAGTATGTATCCAAGTACTCTCCTAGGAAATAATAAAAACGATAAGTTCACAATTATATGAATGGTTTCTACATAAAGAGAAAATTTACAGAAATTCATTGTCCGGGGGCTCCGGAATACCGATCCATTCCTTAAAGTCATCAAATCTCTCTTTTCTGAAGTTATAAACGAGAAGCCCGCCAGCAACAGTAAAAATAATTGCCAATATAATACTTATAGACAAACAACACCAGCAGTAACAAAGGCTGCATTCATCACAACAACTTTTACGTAGCCTAACGGGTGGAACATAAAGCTGCTGATATGTGGACATGTAGATGCTCACGACCACTAAGACAAAAATGACAAAGGACAAATCGGTGCGGAGTATGGTTATTCGGTTAAATAGTTTATTAATATAAACAAACCAAAAGCATTTTGGGCATATTTTCAAATCTACAGTTAATTTTTTTACAAAGGTGAATAAATGCCATCATTTAACTTTGCAAGTATTTCCTTGCTTAGATCATTTGTTTTTTGACAATACCTAGTTTTTGGGAAGTACTTCAAGAATATCATAAGAATCTAATTTCCAATTATCAAAAAATTACTTTGATACAAATACTTACACTACATTATGCATCTAATTTAACATCTTTGCTCAGAATTTAAAGCTATTTATATAAATGAGTAAAGACAACTTGCGGTGGTTTTTAATTTATTGTAAGCTTCCATTGCTCCAAATAAATAGTGATTCATCGATATATAATTGAGGTGATGTAATGGAATTCTTTTTGGCATTTCGAATACTACATGGGTTTATACTTTTTGTGGCTGTTTCAAAGTATTCAGGTAATCATTTGTGATTCACATGATCCAATCTAGCTTTACTTTGTCTTGATATTGTTTCAACGATTTGATCTTTTTACTAGACGAAATAATTTATATATTTGATCCATGTTTCTCCATTAAAGGTTACTTATTTTAATGTTATTCTATTGAACTTTCTTCCAATTGATTTAAGACAGCAGATAAAAATAAATGCCTGGAAAACAAAACAATGATTCATCATCATCCCTATCTTACTGCGTTTGAACACAGATATGATTCGCTTATTAGTAAAATTGGATTTCTTTCCGAGCCGCCTTCGGGTTAGTCTTTTAAAACTTGTGGCTGCATATTGACATATCATTCCGCATCATTTCACCTTTTTTATGTCTTTAAAAAGTATTCGGAAAAACATTGGGAATATATCACTAACTCCTCCTAACTGTTTCCATCATTCATAGCTCTCACGGCATTTTGCACAAATATATAAATAAGTCATGTTATTACTTCATTACAGGACATTTTATTGTTTTACTAGAGGTAGTAGAGGGGTCTAAACATGATTGTCATACTTGGATATATTAGCATACAATGCTTGTTTGGGTAATTAATTATCCTCACTTTAGCCATAACTCCTCCCACATTTTGTAACTTCGTATAATGCATACAGAGACAGGTATTGTGCCACATTAGTTTCCTGGCATCTTATCAAATTACTCTAAGTTTGACAAATCGTTTGCAAGTGGTCCGATGTTAAATAAAGCGCTCCGAAGTCCAAAAGATTATCAAAGTATTCATGTGGGAGAATTATATATCATTATAATCGTATTGCTTAGTGATGTTATTTGGCCCATTTAATACATATTTCAGTGGATCACTTGATCTTAAATTTTCATGGTAATAAATATCTTTTTGCCTTATGGATTTATCAAAAAATGTAAATTTTGTCTAAAGACAGGAGAATACATTTACCATCTGATTTATTTTTCTCAATGAAGTTTATTTACTATATGAGTTCCTGATCAAATGTACCCAAAGTCCGCTTGTTTGTGCTCACATAAAACACCTTTAATTAGAATCTCAGCGCATGCTTTGAACGCAATTTGTGAAATGAATTATAAATAAACTGAGATTATTAGAGAAATATTTGATTTAAATGGAGTAACTTAGGAGAAAATTCGAAGAAAATATTAAATATGCATTTATTAGCAAAAACTTAACAAAGAAGAATTATATTTGTAACTGAACCGTTGTTGTTTACTTTTAGATAGGATTCAGGAGTTAGAAGGTTTACACCTTCAATTGTTGCAGCAATAAAGTGCGAAAAGTAAAACGCGACCGTTATCCATGTTAAATCCCATTACTTTAAACCCAGAGTTGTGTTCCTTGAACTTGACTGGAGTTTGATCTTCGGATCAATTATGAGTACATTTCCGTGTCAAACAATGTCATTTACTTGCAAGAGGTTTAACTTATTCGGGCAATTAATGCCCTGGAGTACACAATCACATGTGCGCTCTAACATTCTGCAAATTGTGGCTCGAGCAATCAATAACCCAATTTCTTTACAGAGCCGGCTTACCCAAAAGCGTATTTAATGACTAAGCTCTGTGACAGTGACAACATAATCAGAATCACCACAACCTTAAAAAAACTCGGCCTTCGTTTTGTTGCGTAGCTAATTCCGGGAGGTATTCCATATTTAGGATAAATCAAGGCTTATTTGTGTAGCAATCCGCCACATTACTCATCATTATTTGCACAAATCTAGTCCGAGGTGTGGGACGCCTTGCGTTTTAAGTATCTTGAGATCAAACCTGTGCAATACAAATCGAAATTATACTCAAGGTTGTCAATATGCAAGTGCTTGCAAGTGCTCCCAAAACATAAATAAAATACAAAATTTCAAATAATTGAATGGAGGAGGTGACTCCACTACCTCAAACTGAGAGTACGTGACTGAGAAATTGTGTGTGGGAAAGGTGAAATAAGGTCCTCTTAGGGAGGTTGTTTGTTTTAACAGCTCTAGTTCGTTGAAAATGGGGGGGGGGCAGGATATTAGGGTTAATAGGCGTTTCACACACAGACTGCAAAGTCACATGAGTAGGGGGTGGGGGCGGGGGTGGGGTGAATGAAGATGATGCCAAAAGGAACAAAGACTGGAGGGGGTTAAATACTTCAAAAGACTGAACAATTCGCGTTCAATTTTAATGTTGAGTTAAGACTTTTTTGTTTAAATCGAATGATTATCACCAGGGCTTCTTTGAAAGACAAGACTTCAAGAAGTTCAGATACTTCCTACTTCTTTTATACTGAATTCTCCACACCCTCCCCCTCTAACGCCTTGCTAATTTAGTATCTGTCAACACAAGACTTGCCTGATCAAACAATAGGCTATTTACTTAGTTGTGTAGTGCGATGCAAATCACTCTTAACAGAAACCATTTAATTGACTCAATTTTATAAATGATCTGAGAGCACCGTGTTCTGGTATTGAGATCGTGGGTGGCTGTAAACGGGAGAAACAATCCATACGTTATGAGCTGAGAATGAGGTGAGGACATGAAACAGGACTATTTAAATTTTAAGCTGACGAGGTGAGTTAAAGTAGGCCAACTCATCTGTGGTAGTCTAAGCATACACTCAAATTGACCAGAAAGTTGGAAAAATAGGTTGGAGGAGATTTAACGCGGCAATGCGTCTTGATATCGCTCTGGGTGTTTCGACAGACAGAACGATGTATGCGTGACGATATGGACCTTGGTAACAACTTGATCTAACCACAGATCATTGATGAACTCGTTGAGAGTATGAAAGGCATAAATTTAAGTTCAACTTATAAAGGCTAATAAGAATTAAATTGAAATTACGCTAATTGAATTTGAATACGCTGATCTAAGATATACTTAACATAACAGAATAAATGCAATAATACTATGAAAGACAATTTGAAATAGAGATTTAAAGATTGAAAAATGTATAGAAACCAGCCGGTCCAGTTTCTCTATACCAGTTGATCATCACTGAACAAAGAGTCAAGTGTTTCTCCTTATCTCATTTCACCACCCCTCCCTCTACCACAAAACTGCTCGTCGGCGACCAGTACTGATACCTCAATAAGCAAATCGTCTTATCTACCTTATGGCATTCTCATATTTGAAATTTATTATTCCAAGCAATTGGAGTCAAGGCTTACTATAAAACCTTTTTTTCTAAAAGTAAACATAGATGGCACGGTATTTTAATTTCTCCAAAAAAAAGAATTGGGCAAATGAAGCGGAAAAAAATTGTAGTGAACAATTTTTTTTCAGAAAGCTCAAATTTCAGTGGCAGCAGTAGGAGATATCTCCTTTCAAATGAAATTCGAAACACACTGCTGCAGAAGGAAGTGCGCGCATTAACTCATTACGCCGCGAATTTAATCTTTTCCTTTTTTCAGCACGAAACAAACAAGAAAAAATAATTTAAATCCTCTTTTTTAAACTTGGAGATAAATAAATGAATATAATTAGGTTGTTTTTCAAGTTTATTTTTATTTTAAAGTGTTTAAATCATTGAAATTAAAGCATGAAATTTATATTTTTGTATCAAATCGACAGTCATGCTTTCCAATCATTTTTTGCATAAAATTGTTCTCAACATACTAGATGAGCATTTAAATGTTAATTTGACTAGGTTAATGTAAGTTAGTAGTCTGTATTATCTGAGTCCTATAAACCCAGTTGTGGGACACGTTATCGCTCTGTGCGTCATCGTATGCCAGGATTGGGAGGTGCGGCCGTACAACTCTGTGTGCAGCGACCGTACAAACAGTGACCAATCATCAACCTCTGTTTAACCTAATCCCCCATCCTGATCATGAGTAGCTCCCTGCGTGTACACACTTGATCCCCAATACCCGTACTGAATAAACGTGCTCCGTGCTACACGTCTGTTTCCTTTATAGCTGGGCTATAGCTTGGCTGGTTCTGGGGGTCTAGCTAGATGTAGGAGGATCTGCCATAGAGATTTCTGAGTCAGTCAAGCTTTAATAAAGTAGCGATCCGCTGCACAGTCAAGTTCCACTCGAACCTTCAAAGTAGATCACATTGGTGTGTGTTAATTTATGAACAGTATTTTTAAGTTATCATAGAAAAAAGGTTACTAATTTCAATAGAAAATATAATTACAGCACCTATGCTAATTTAGTCATCGATTTTCAAAACTCAATAAG